GTGCAACTCTTGTCAGCTCTGATGAACAGAAACAGTGGGATGGGATGATGGCGGTTGCATTCCAAAAGACTTGGAGAGCCACAAGTTGCCTACTCTGGTTTTAATTCATCAGGGTGCTATTTGCAGTGCACTGGGTACTTGTCTGTGCACAGAAAACACGACTTCAAGCAGAATAAGGTCTAAAGTGACATGTAAAACTAAAACTGAAAATAGTCATTTCATGCAATATTTCTATTAAGAAATGCCATATAGGTTAGTGACTGCTAATGTACGCCTAAAAAAAATGGAGTTCCTACTTCTTTCTACCAGGAGGAACCATTTCCTCAAGAAGTATTTTGTTTTCATGCATGCGCGCGCACACACCCTACACAACAAAACCTAGTTCTAATTTGAAGTTGAAATGTTTAAGACGCTTAGCAACATGGTCCAATCTCATCTCCAACCCTGTCCAAGAAAAATGGGGCAGTTCTTTGGTCACAAGCAGGAACAGAATAAAGAACCAGTAGAATTAAAATGCAGTACAGAATTGGCAGAACTGTATGATACCGGTTGGTATGACAGTGCCTGTGCTACATTTTGTGTTTTAATGTTACAATTTTGCTTTAGAAAAGAATAGCTGTAAAACTTGCTGTTGGAGTTACAAGCATGTATTTACTTTCTTTTAAAGAAGATTCAGTATATACTCCCCTGTAAACTTATCTGGGACAAAGTACGATTAAATGCAGTTGTACTACTCCTAAGTAGACATGTGTGGGATGGCAGTGTAAAAAAGACCTTTTCTCTTGGAACTCTAGTGTTACTGCTCTTTTGGTTTATATGGTATTTATTTACCTCTTGGTTTAATGTGTTCATGTCTGATTTTATTCCATTTTAAAATCAGACATGAACACATTAAACCAAATTCATCAGAACTGAATTTACAGTTATTTTTGTGAGTTCCGTTGTTCTTCTGAAGCAAGGATGCTCTGTATCATGAGCTTTAGCTTTCTGATAATACTTCATGGCCATGCTTTAGTAGAATAAAACTGAGATTGGAAAGATACTTTCTTAGATCCTAAGATAAATGCAATTAAGGAAATTTGTAGAAGGAAAGTCTCCCATCCTTCCTTCCCTTTGTCAGCCCCCAACTTCTGAAAAGCTTCTTTGGGAGTTCCAGGGTCTCTGAACCATCTGGGATAGGGCATGGGAGGATGCAGTTGACTTGTCATATGATCCAATCGTATGCATAAGTCTCTCCTCCCTATTGTTGGCAGGAGGGCATTCTACTCCCAGGCAGATTCATGAGGGAGTTTGCAGAGGGAAAGGGAAGGACAGTAAATATTCCTTTGGTAAATATTCCTCTTTGCTGTGGGTTCAGACATCAGTGTAATCCCACTCTGGGATTGAATATTGACTGTGGGTTGTTCTTAAATGCATGAGTTCATAATCAAGCATGAGTTACAATGGCTGAACCTGGCTGCTCTAACAAGGCATGGCTTGTTAACCACAAACAACCTATGAAAATACTCCTTGGTTGGTTGTTATCTTGTGAATGTGGGTTGGTCACTACGGTTTGTTCTCTTGACTGGGTTCGAACAACACAGTAACCCATGTTTCAATGGCAACCCATGGTTCAGTGACAATCTATTCTCAGTTTCTGATTGTGAAGTACCGTGTTGGCTGATCCAAGTCTATAACTTATTATTAAAATAAAGTCATTAAGAACAAGATTTATTAAAGTGTTCCATCCTTCTTTTAAACACACAAAATAATGCCTTTGATGTTTCCTGTTGTCAGAGCAGCAGCATCCTTAATATGTGTTAAGAGGAATATTGCAAAATTACCAAATTTGTGTAAATTCTATAATCTGAAAGGAGATGTGTTATTTTTATAGCAAATCTTAAAATGATTTGAAAAACTGAAAATATGTTTGGATTGAACAGAAATCTCTTCCCTATATACTTTACCTTATTTGAGGGCAATGGAATGGGGGTAGAAAAAAGATTCCCAAATGTTTTCTGTCAGCAGTAGACCCAATGAATTTCCTAGTAGTTTTGTTGGGGAAGGTTTATCATTAGAAAAAGTGGCCAGGCAGCTTTAAGGCGGCATATGACCTTGGTGACTATTTAGTGAGTACATGAATATTTAACAATGAAACATGTTTGCTGTGATAAGCCTATTTGTATTCCCCACAGTGTCTCACACAAATATTCCAGGGAACTGTGTGTGTTTGGGTGGGATGGTGGGGGCAGCACCACCAGAAAAATGTGATAGCAAATTTGCCCATTTTGGGGTTGGTTTCCAGAAAAGTATTTTTCTCATAAATCCTTTTCTGGGACTTTTCAGCCCTGCTCTAAAATACTTTGAGTTACTATCATTCTTAGACAGCTCTGCCACCCTGGACCTACCCTTACTAATGCAATGGGTGGGTTTGCATGACACCGTAACCTTTCCTCCCCGCAGTGCTCCTAACATATGATCACCCATATATTGCATAGGGCGTTCCTCCTTTGCTGCAGTCTTTCTACAAGCATCCCATGGGACACTGTTCCTCCACTCCCTGCCATTTTTGCTTGCTGTAGCTTTTTTTGTCATTTTGAGTGTTCTTTTTTTCCCCTTTTCACAAAAGCTGCTTGTCAGGCCAGCTTTCACAATCCCCGTATGGCCAGCTATGAACAATCCCTCCAGGCTGAAACAGTGCTTCCTTGGAGTAGCTTCCTGCAGCTGCCAGAGTTTTCTTTATATAACAATTCTTTGAACAAATATTTTGCAAATACTTGTAAAAAAAATATTATTTTAAGTATATTACCACTGCAGTTATGCAGAAGTGGCTATGGGGAACCTGCGTGGGACAATGGTCATGGGGAGATGAACTGCCAGCAATGTGCAGCAGGTGCTTACCCAGTTCATTGCTCCCTGAAGTCCACTGAAGGAAGTTGATCTCCCCCATTCCTTTGAAGCACGTGACCGTTGTCAGTTTGGCCTCTAATTGCTTCCAAGTCTATTGAGATTGCTGCTTGTGGAATGGGGACCTTAAATCCCCCTTTTGTGGCAAGATCCCCTCCCCCTGCTTTTGGAGTCCTTGCCTCCCAAAGGGGCCCTCAGTTTTGTGATTGTTCCAAAGTGGTATCAGCTTGGGAACATGCAACTCTACTGAGGAGTCCTGGGGATAAAGGAAGGTAATTGCTTGCAGTGGCAGTTCAGGAAGCATAACTGGGTGCAACAACACAGCTGCCTAGTCAGGGTACACTTGGGAGACATAAGTTCCCTCAAAAACGAAGACGCCTGCTGCAAAGCTGGTCTTTTAAGGCTTGTTTACATTTTTAAATAGAGCAACATTAATACTATACATCTCAGTAATAAAAGTGTTACTAACCCGGAAGAGGCATACAGTTAACATTACATAAGGAAAGGCAGAGTATAAACTTAGTACATACAGAAAATTTTTACCTTTACTCTTCACAGGTACTTTTTTCAACAGCATGCCTTGAAGATAGTACCAGTTAACTCTTACTCTCCTGTCAAACTGGTAAAGGAGGAATTAGTAGATGAGGCAAATTCCACATATTCCTGCCCCATTGGTCCTTTTGTCCACTCCTTTCATACTTTACATTGAGAGTCCAGGTTGCAAAGGGAGGAAGATAATTGCATTGGGAAGAAATACTGGAGGGAAAGTCCAAGTTATTTAATCTCACGTTTCCTCTGCAAATTTTGAAGTAAAGATGGAATTTCTGCTTTGCAGTCTGGCAACACTGCTATGTTTATATATGTATTGATTTAATTTAGGGATGAGAAAGAACTCACATGGACATGGGATAGCTGGAAGCAGAGCTGCTACAGAAGCAGCTTTTCCTGTGTCTGTAGGAAGATAAGAGAAGGAACAAGCAGTGCATAGTAGGATGAAAATGGCCATGGGAAAGAGCAGCTTAAATCCAGTGTGAAGCGTGGGTCAGTGAGCTGTAACAGTTAAAGGGTTTTTATGTTCCTGCTATAATGTCTGCAGCTCCCAGACTTTTGACCAGAGCCAAGAAGGTAGAATGTGTAATGTCAACATTATTTTGTCTAGATTAAATTGGACTCAGAAACAAAATGGTTGTTGTGGTGTTGCTTAGTTTTTAGCTTCAGAGCCCTGACTGACCTCATGCCAGGTTGTCTTAAGGACCTTTCTCTCCCATACCTGCATGTTTGAAAAAGGCCCTACTTATGCCTCTTTGCAACCTGTAGTTTGGCAGATGGACATGGGAGACTGGGCATTTTTACTGCACCCCATCTATAAATAAAATAAAATAAAATAGCCTCTCCCAAGGAAGCCAGCCGAGTCCTTGGTTGTCTTTCAGCATGTGGCTAAAAGTTGGTTCTTTAGCAGATCTTCTAGCATGCCTGCTCCCTAATATGGTAAATCAGCAGTGGTTTTCATCTAGAGGTGATATGGATCCTTTTAATTTTGTTAATTTGTATTTTAATGGACTAATTTATCATCTCTGTTATTCACCATCTTGAATATATGAACTGATACAAAAGTGTGATACAAATTTGCTTATTAAGAAGAAATAAATAGTTAGGGTAACTCAACTTATAGAATCATAGAATAGTAGAGTTGGAAGGGGCCATGAAGCCATCAGCCCCCTGCTGTTGCGGGACACCAAGTTATATCATCCCACTCAGATGGCTGTCCAGCCTCTTTCTGAATGTCTGTAGTGTGGGAGAGCCCACCACCTCTCTAGGCAGCTGGTTCCACTGTTGTATTGCCCTGACAGTGAGGAAGCTGAACTCAGACACAGTCTCTTCACTTCATTCAATCAGCTTACTTGGTTTTCAGTTACTCCCTGTCTCTCCGACTTGCTGAACAATGGGGTTTCTAATATCTAATTGTAACAGCTCTTTCAAATGAGTTCATAATTATTAATTGCACCTTCTATTTTTCATCTAGAAGTAATGTGAGATTTTTCAACATAGCACCTACAAATCAGTAGAAGCGATTTCTAGACATACTGAGATCTTCTTCTTCTTTTTTTCCTCAGATGAGCGGGACAAAGTACAAAAGAAAACATTCACAAAATGGATAAACCAGCACCTTATGAAGGTCAGTTCACATGCATGCTGTCTTTGGAGATCATAACCTCAGTTGTTGTTCGCAGAGATGCCCTGAGAAAGAATAGAATTGGTAGAATCTTGTAGAGAAGGTCTTACGGAATGCTGGTCAGGCATTCACCCACCACAGAATTAGACACATGTGAGGGAGAGAGTGTGATGATGCTCACTGATCCCATCCCCTTTGTCCTGTTCCCATAATTTGGCTCTGCCTTCCTTCACATGCTGCCAAGTAATGATACTCAGAGGCAGGTCCTACTAGCTTTAGAATAGCTTGCTCACACGTAACTATTAGGGTTGCAGTCCTAAATGTATAAATACTCATGGGAGTAATTTATGTGAACAGATAGGAAACAGAAATGTTTCCATTCCCATGTATTAAGTGAATTCACTTACAGTGGAGAATGATAACTGGAAAAGTTTGATATTTGCCTAAAAGTAAGTCCCTTAATTTGAAAATGTACCCTAATTGGCAATTGCTATGGAGTGGTGACTGAAATGAATTCTGCACATGTTCAGAGGAAGCCATAACTTTGAATTTACAAGAGCTGAGTAGGGCTTCCATTCAAAAGGTTTCCTTAAGTTGGAGATGACTGGAGAGTACAACAGCAGTAACAGCAACATGTACAGAGGAGCTCATATTGTGTTCAAGAGCTGAAGATCTGTTCTTGGAAAATAATTCAGGAGCTAAACCTTGGCCCCCATTAAACTTTCCCTTGGGATGGGGTGGGGTGGGGTGAAGGATAGTGACTGCCAGCGTGGTTCTCCCCTCTGATCCACAATGAGGGCACCTGGGAGAAGAAGGCCAGGGCAGAGCAAAGGAAGTCATGGTCGGAGTGGTAGCACTGGTTCACATGGAGTGCCTACATGGCTTTGCCAACAGATAACTTGCCCGACAATGGGAAGGGGTACCTTCCCTGCATGTGGAGAGTACTGCCCCCTACTTTTACGTGGGTGAACATGTGTGTAGTAGTGAGTGGAAGAGCATTAGAGCAGTACAGTTCAATTAAGACACAGTATTCACATCTGACAAGGGGCATGGGAAGACAGTTGCAGTCACTGTAACGCAGGGGTCTCAAACCCAACTTACCTGGGGGCCGCTGGAAGTAGAGTCTGGGTGAGGCTGGGCCGCATCAAGTATTCCACCACCGCAGTGGGGGTGGGCTGCTCATCCCGCAGCTGGCCCGGGCGCCGCCGGCACTTTGAAGGCCGCAGGGCCCCTTCCCCGTGCCCCGCCCGGCCCGGCCATTGGCCTACGGGCCGCGAGTTTGAGACCCCTGCTGTAACATGTTTCTCCCTTACCTTGCTTGCTTCTTTGGGGTGCTAGGAGCCTTTCCCGCTCCTTTGTCTTACCACAGTCTCCCTATTGTGGGCTCGAAAGACATACGACACTAGCCCAGAGAACTGTACCCCCTTGCAGCACATTCTATCCACTGGTACTTTCATACTGATGGTCATGTACTGTGAGTGGTATATAAGTTATATCCTCCCCCATGCTTTGTCCTGGCAGTCAGTGCCTGACTCGGGTGCCTTTAGGAACCAAATAAGCTTCAGAGGAAAATGCATACCATCGACAGCCCTGGTTTTGAGCTGAGGCGCTAGAGGGTTTGGCATGTGTGCTGCTCCTTCTGCTGCTACCCCATCCCACTCAGATCTCTGCCCCATTGTGACCACAGTATAATTCCAGTGAGACTCCAGTATAAGATTGCTCCGTAAGTGCACATGCAGAGCAGCAAGCCTTAGGTAGGTACATTGCTCCTCTTCATATAGTTTGTGGTTTCCAGATGTGAGATGCTATTTCATGCCCACTAGCAGTGGGCCAATGTGTAGAGCAGAAAGCCATATCAAAGTATAGATATATGTGCTTAATTAAGCATGTACAGCGATTACTATCTTTGGTGAGGCTCACATTAACAATGTTAAAGTAATCTAATTTTTCCTCTGTATTAATAACTTAGCAGGCTAATATTCTTAATATATTAATTAATTCCCTTTGTTGTGGAATGTTTGCAATTAACTTTTGATTAGCATAATCTTTGATTAATATTTCATTATTTGTCCTGCCAAGATATTAACATGTAAGATTATTTAACCAGCTAAAATCAGCTGAAGGCTTTAAAATTAATTGATATATTATTCAGGAGACTGTTTCTAGTTATCTCTACAGTATTGCTATATGCAGATTTAAGCTCTGAAAAAATATTGGCATGTTCCGTGCTTCCATTGTGAAAACTGTGCCATTTATCCCAAGGGGACTGGCTGTTATATTTGTATGCATACAGAGTAGCAGATAAATATTTATCATTTAATATACCACATGATTATATATTTTATATTTTTCTTGCATTTAGAAAACTTGAATTTCCCCTAATTTATAATTTGCAGTTGCAATTATGAATATTTGCATATGAAGACAAAAGGGGTGTTCAATTAAACTCACCAATGAAGAATTTAATTTTACAGAGGTCTCTTTAAATCCTGTTTGCTCTAATAATAAAGAACATGATTGATTACCAATATAGAACATTCAATAAAGATTCAGATAACAAAGAAAATGATAATTTGTTTAAAATAGCTAATTATATTAAGATTTTACTTTATTTCAGCCACATATTGCATCAGCCTGCTCTGAATTTGATTGGAATAGCAGCGGGTGGAGGGTGAAGTTTTAACTCTTTTTTCTATCTAAGCCACCTTTCTAAAGTGTTTTTTTCCCTTCCAGTGTGACTAATAACAATTTTTAGGGCGAGAGAATTGAGACTGAGAAAATGGCATAAAAAAGGGTTAAACACTTGCCCACCCCACCATGACTCTGATCAGACTTAAAGCCCCCATATCTACTTTTAAGGAAGAGTAAGCATATTGGCAGAACTGATAAAGGATCTTCCATCTAACATGTCTGAATGTAACATAGCGTCTTAATCTCTGGTTTCAAAACTAACCATGCTAACACTGACATAGATGTAATGCTGCACCATAATTAGAGCTAACCAGAGAAGAGAGTGAGAGGGATCCTAAGCCCATGAAGCTCCCTCAGTCTCTTGACCCATTTTGAATCAAGTCCTTGTACAGAAAGGGCTGATTGAAGGGTGCCCTTCCAGAGACATAATCCAGCTAAATAGCCAAACTATCCTAAGGTATGTTCTCTTACCACAGAATAACATGGTTAACTGTGTCATAAAAATGTTATCACACATCATGTGCAGTCTTCTGCAGAAACTCATACATGGGGGTAAGGCAATTACTCATACATGGGGGTAAGGCTGCATTCTGTTATCTCACCACTTGTATGTTCCACTGCTTATATCTTCTGTGTGAAATCCTGTCCTCTCCACATTGACATTTGTCTAGTAGTCTGGCTGTGTGGTTCAAGGCTAATATTTAAATCCAATTCTCTTATCCTCTCTGTCTTGGTTACCGTGAGACTGCTGTTGTGGGAGGCCTGTGCAACTGCTATGGCTACCTGGGAAGACACTGATGACAAGAGACATACAACCCCATTTATCCTGGCGTAGTCTTTTTTCTGCTTTTAATTTTACAAAACGTATTATCAGAAAGAGCATTTTCTTTTGGTACAAACCTTTCAAAGATAGTAGTGCAACAAAAGGAACATGGCAGAGGGCCTGCAACTAAATGGCAGTTGGGGACCTTTGCTTGGGGGCCTTTATGCTTTTAAAAGACTTGGGAGGGACCTATAAGGCCACTGGGTGCAGCTCCAAATTGAAGCATCCCTGGCATATGGTTGTCTCACTGCATTCTGAATGCCTCAGGTGTGGGAGAGCCCACAGTGATTTTCACTGTCCTGGTCCTAATTACAGGGGTGGGCATAAAGCTGGAGTAGAACACAAAACTGCCTTGAATGTGCATTCTGGGTTGGTTGATTTATTTATTAACCTCCTTTTTGAAAGAATACAGTTTCAAAGAAGCAAAATCAGTTTCACTAAGTTTGTTTTCGAATCTGAGAATGGTATTACCTTGGAGATGTTCACTGATGCTATTAACACTGCATGATACAAATTGCACACAACAGAGGTAATTGGGAGATGTTTATAAAATAATGAATACACAAATGATTGATCAAGATATGTATATATTGACTTGAAATTACTTTGATGGAGAGGAGGAAGATTAGGATAAAAATTGCCTTATTGATTATAGTCATAATGATGAAAATATTTAATAAAAATGTTTTCTTTGAAGAAGGGAATATTAAATTGAATGTAAGAATTTCTGAATATTTAATAGACTGTGCTGATAGAAGCTGAAAATCTGTGAATTTCCACAAGCAAACTGTATTCATAATATGTTTGCATGAAACTGCCACATGATCCATTAATTTCTTATTTGTGACTCCAGCACACACATATGATGTTCTGTTGTTTAGAAGCTCTTACCTGCTCATCTCAAGTAAAAAGAGCATAGCAACCCATGTAAAAAGTTTCACCCACAAAACAGCCCCATCCCCTCTACAGAAATAAATGTGAATGCATGGGACATTGGCTTCTGGTGGCTACATGTACGCTCAGGAGATAAACAATTCCTCATGCTTGGAAGTTATGGAACCTGAGAATGTAGAGTACTAAACAAAAAATAATTTAAAAACTTGTTCCTGGCTCAGCAATATAATAAACACCACAGAGTTAAACTTCTTTCCTTCAAATCTCCTTTATGTGGGATGACAGAAGTAATTGTATGTACTGATGGTGCAGCAAGGAGAGGGATACAGAATAGTAGTGTGACTGAAAGTGACAGACCCAGGTAAAGTGAATAAATGAAATGGAATGACAGTTTCAGGCAGCTTTCCTGCCTCTTTTCTCTTGCAAAGCAGGATTGATGCTTATTTATCACCTAATTTATTTGGACAAAGTGAAGCATGGTGAAACAGCGCCATCTGCACGAAGGACTTTGTATTGCATGGCTGCTATCATATGGAATAACCATGAACTATGAGAAACTGGAGAGAATGGAATTCCAGAGGTAACCTGTATTAGT